AGTCTTTTTCTTGAATTTTATTTTTAAATATTACAATACTATAATATAATATTACAATTTATTTTGCGCAAATCTCTTTATCAAATTGAAACAAGAGACTTATTTTACATATTTGCGTACCATCAGATAATACTTGACCATCAGTTCCGCTTTTGCACTTACCATTCAACATCACACAAATCTACATACTAGATTGCTAGAGCTTTAAAACAATACTATGTGCTACAGATCTATTTTTGTTTGCCGATCAGACGTTTGAGAGTCTGGTACACGTGTTTTCTCTCTGATAAACACATACTTCATGATTCTCTAATCTCTCCTTTTCGACGTATTTTTCTCAGTTCGGTATGGCTCAGAAATGTTACTATCCATCAAAGCCTTCAAGGTATTACCCAAAGGTAATCAGTACTGGTTTCCTTACTGTACAGTATGTTTCAGGGTTAAGTGGCCATACTTCAAAATTGATCTAAGGACCACAAAACAAGAAACAAATTTCCTCTGAAGGTATGTTCGCAAACGCTTTGTTTAGGAGATATTCACACCTAAATATTTTCGTTGTTATGAATTATTTACGTTAGATGAAATAAATAAAACCTATTTATTTGTTCTTACTTCTTTATTAATTAAATTTAAACATTAACATTCATATTAAATATTATTCAAAGTGATTCCCTTCGGCATTTTTCGTCATCAGCAGCAGTGGCAGAACGACAATGGTGTAGTTGTTTCATTAGATTCAATTATCCTTCCAGAACTGCAATTTATACAAACATCAAAAGGTCGCCGTTTTAATCTTCTTGAAGGATTATAGCGATGGGTGGTGCTTGATAAGGATAGTGCAATAGGATTTGGGTGATACATAAGTTTCTGGTAAAATTTCTGGGATAAGGTCAAGGACAAATAGGATGTTGAGGCCATGGTGTAGGGTTTTGTTGGTTACATAGAAAGGAGCCTGGACTAGTGTTCGAAGGACTTTGAACTGAAAGGATTGGATGCGTTTAATGTTGAGAACTTTTGCTATACCCCACAGTTCTAGTCCGTAAGTCCAAATAAGTTTGAGTATTGTTTTGTAGATCAGTAATTTTTTCCAATAGGAAGTTTAGATTTTATATTTACTAGTCTATATAATTGGTATCGGACTGTGTCTGAGAAAGGAAGCTGCATGAATTTAAAATAAACTGGTGGACTGGATTTACGACGATAGGTGAAGATAACGTGTTTCCATTTGATGAGAGCTTTAACAAACGAATAGAGCCAGAGAAGATATACTTCAAGGTGCTCTCCTATCCAATGCCTGACAAGTCATTTCCATAACACTATTTGATCATTTTCAACAGTTTGTTGACTGGTTGAAATAAATATTTAAAGATTAAAAAAAAAAAAAAAAAGTAATTCGTTCTAACGACATTAGGGCAGTACAGTAACATCAGCTTCAGATAATAAATTGTTGTGGATCAGAAAGGCAAATTAGAATTAAAAGAAAAAATATCTTTAAGCAAGTTGTTTTGTTTATTTATTATTATAGGGCTATCGCAGATCATTTTCAGGAATTTGGCAGCAAAGGTTGGCTGTTGCTTCTTCAACGGTCACGGTAGCCAATTTTACATGGCCTACTAATTTGGCAGACGTTTAGCTGTGATAATTAAGAAGAAAAATCATTATATTTTTTATTTTTATTTCACCTGTCCGATCCGTTAAATACTAATATTATATAATATCTCAGGCCAGTAGCAAATAATGTTTATTATTTACCTACATACAAAAAAGAAGAAATAAAATAGCTACAGACATAAAGAAGACACATCTGAAGAACTGGTCGATATCGAGCAGTTAATTGTTAGTATTTCAAGATTTTGAAAGAAACTAAATTTTTAAAAAATACCATCTTTTACCAGAAAATAATTAAATTATAAAAAAATAGGCTCACTTTGGCGACAAATATTTTTGAAGTGGCTAAGCTAAGTGACTACGGAAGCAACAAAACTTGAACTAAGAAGTGTATTTGCTTCCTTCCTACGGCAAGGGAAATCTTGTATTCATGGAGAAGCAAGAAATATTAGATCTTTGTATCTGAATGTTTTTGATTCTGAGGTATAATATTGATTTAATCATTTATTATTATTATTATTAATACATGGAAGTATAAAATTACTGTGACTCAGAGATTTCATTTAAGATCAAATGAAAACTCACATTTCATATTATATAGGTACCTGAATTTCATCGCAAAACACTTGAGGAACACCAGCGGACTGGAAAAAGATATATATATATATATATATATATATATATATATATTATATATATATATATATATATATGTATATATATACAGAGTTAAAATTTAATTTGAAGGTTCATGTTTGTGAAGTAGTAACGAATTAATGGAAATAAAGTTTTACTTCAGTTGTGCATAATGGGTAAACTGTGATGATATATTATATATCTAGGAACTAATTTGATTCTGGCTATACAGATGTATATTTTTTCTTTTTCATTAATTTGATAATATAAGGCACTAACATAAATTCAAGACAATATGCTAAATTTATTTGCCTCATTGTATAATTTTCGTACTCTTAATTTAAACATCAAAGAACCATTATTGTATTTATATGTGTACTACAATAATAGACATTAAAAAGATGCTCTACATTCTATTAAAAAAAATTCATTTCTCATTAAAATACTCATATCAGTAATAAAATGTTATTTAATATTGTGCATTTTATGTTAGTTCCTCTAAGGGTAGAGACCGGGACCCTATGTTGGTAAGTTAGAAGTTAATTAGTTTGTTAATTAAGTAACTTCCCTCTATTAGTTAAGGAAAATTCCTGAAAGCGTTAAGTCCATGAAGCCATATTGTATATTTTATTAATTAAGTTGTTTCATAGAGGCGTTCGATAAAAGCTTTTTAGTTTAAACGACGTTCCAGTGAATTATCCAACATGTAGGAGTCTTATTTATTTGCATTAACCATTAACTGATAGAATGAGTTTTTTATGCTCTCTCTAGCTAAAGCTTAATTATTGGACCAAATAAATTTAAGTGGGCCTAAGCTTGATTTAATTTGACACAGTTATGAATTTTGACAATATTTTAACATAACTGAAACCAAAACCAATCAAATAATTAAATTTTTTTAAATTTATATAATCTAATTTTCTATTCCTAACTAAGATAATAGCCATTCATATTCCGATTACACCGACCACTGTATTTACGGAGAATTAAATCATCAATTAATGATATAACAAAAAGACCCAAACTATAGACTTTTCAATCAAAACCTTTCTGGACTACAACAAAACTCCCTGGTACATCAACAACATTACTTTACATAAAGACAGACACATACCAACAGGTAACGACCACATACGGACACATCACAAAAGGTTTCACAATAACTTAGTGCATATACCAACTCTCTGATTCAAGATATGGCCACAACCATCATTCCCGGTAACCTCCTTAGGAGGTTCAAAAGAAGAATAATGAGGGATATTCTCCACGAACTATACATATTAAAATCAAGATAGAAAGGGATATCAGTGGACACTCCTCTCCCACACATATACCAATCATATACTCCAATTCTGCTTTACGACAGTACACTCGCTGGTTGTCGGTACTTCTGACAGCTGTGAGTTGAAAATTAAAGTTAAAAAATATATATATATATATATATATATATATTGTAAGAATTATTAAGAATAATTGTACACTTTGGCTCCAAGCCATCAATACTGCTCTTAGAGTTATTACAATAAAAATCGATACATCTGGTGATTTATGACTAACATTACAGCTTTTCTATTCTTTTTAACAATTGACTGAAGAATTTGTAAAGTAGTTACAGATGATCAAGCACCTTTTAATGTATAAAAGAATTGTAAATATTTTGTTAACAAAATTCATGTTTAATTTTTTTAGCCTGTGTATAGTGAATCTAGAGGTAAATTCGGCTTCTTTAATGGCGAAAATTTTGAACTAAGATTTTTGAATAATTTTTTCACTATTGAATGTTTTTGAGTTATATGTTTAAATTTAGCTTATTAATAATTTTTACCAATACCTCAGCTATTATAAATAATTTGAATAATATTAAATATATTGTCTAGGCAAAACTATTCGATATTCTTAGTCGACAACCACAAAAATTGTCATTACTTCTGGATGGGTCTACCGAGTCACACGAAAATCATTAGAGATTTAGGGCTCTTTATGCCACAAGAAATGGTCTATACCCGATCTACTTAAACAAATTAGAACTAAATGTATAAACTAATAATGATTGAGAAGTTTTTCTTCATTTCTAGCTTATAAAGTAATGAATTGGTCAACAGACCTAAAGTCGTGATCCCTTCAAGCTATTTCAGTACTCATTTCCTTTTATTATTACATCATATATAATATTATTTACATTATATTGCGATATAAATGTAGTTATTGTGAAATACAAAGGAAGTACAATGTAACTTAGAATGAAAAAAATAAAATTAAAAGGCTCAAATTGATGTTGGGCTTATATGCTGGACAAGTTAAATATGGTTAGCAATTGGCGATGTATAATATAGATTTTTAAAGAAATGAAAAAAAAAAATTCAAAACTGTGGTTTCGTTTAGTTTATTTTATGTTGATAAAAAATAATACAATATGAACTACAGAATATTAGAAAATTACTGTTATAAAATTTGAGCAACGAGTCGTACAATTAAATGAACTGATGAATTATTGAAGGAAGTTAGTCGAATGTGCTCAAAGCACGCCCTGAAGATGACCTACATGTTTGGGTTGAAACGTTGGCAAAAATAAAAATTTTAAAAAAGACTGCGTCCTGAATATTTATCACCATTAATTAAATAAATTGTTATATAATTTGTAAAATGGGAGTTGGTCCGCCTTTAGGCTAGTAATTATTATTCTTAATTATTGTTGATAGGTTTATTTTTATATTATGTATTTTTTAAAGTTTCAGAATGGTGGCTGGTGTGGTATAATGATTTCCCTGATTGCAGTGATTCTCTGGTCCATCTTCCCTCTTCTAGCCTCCTCGGATGACAACTTGGGTGAGTATTATATTCTTATTTTCTTATCATATTTACTTTACTTTGTTTAAAATTAATTATTTAAGTTTTAAGTTATTAAAAAGTGAAGTGAAGTCGATATAAATTCGAGGATTGGTATTTCATCGATAGATGAATGTTATGTGTTTCGATTTATCGTTATTTAATCGAATTTTCAATGATTTGTACCAGTCTTGGAATTCATGTAAGTGATATTGTAAAGTCAGTGAAGCTCGCGTAGGATCTTGATGTTTTGTGAGAATTATTAAGTCGTTAGCGTTAATAGAAGTCAATGTCTTGTTGTTCCTAGGTATGTTTTAAGTGTATAAAATACATGGTAGAGGGACCAGTACTGAACCTTGAGATAACTCATTCACGACTAAATAGACAAATGACATTTCTAAGTTCTTTCGAACGAAGAAAATTTTTTTGAAATGGAAATATTGAAGAATTAGGTAGTATGCATGTGACCGTACTGACCTGAATTTAAAGAAGTGGCATTTTGTCAAATGCCTAAGTGACATTCAAAGAACACCAGTTGCATGTAGTTTTGTTTTAAAACTCAAGAAATGTAGTCTGAAACTCGGTGTAATTAATGTGTTGTTGAAGGCCAATCCTTCTGTAAAAGTCCATGAGTATATATATAAGTATAGATATAATTTATCAAAGTACCGTGTTTAATATATTTTTTTTTATCCACCTTTTTATGTTCTCCATCAGGTGTGAAAAATAATCACATTTGGCAGAAAAGTCAAGAAAAATGTTTGAATGATTATACCCATAATGATCAGAAAGGTTTCTAAATTTCCTACGAAATGAGAAAAAAATAATAATCATTGAGATTGGTCGGAATATTTTTAACAAAGATACTGTAATTTGTAGCAAAGATTGTAATTTATAGAAATGTTTTAGTCTATTACTTTGAATGAATATTATTACCTCCCTCTCATAATGAATCGTACCCAATTATTCTGCACCTTAGTGTATTAGTTTATACCATTATTTCCCGATCAATATAGTGTGCGGATTATTCGCACGAGACAACTAATTAATAGTAATTTTTAAAATGTCTCATTTAATATTTGTGGCTCCTCACTATAACTAATGCCCAAGTGACAGATTGTTGTAATAGTCAATAAATAAATAAATAAAATAAAAATATATTTTTCTTTTTATAGTTTTTGATTTATGCGGAAAGAATCTAAGAAATTGAGGAATGGAAAGTAGGTAAAAGATCATGACTACGAGCTTTGCTAAAGTTGAACTAAGCCCCACATCCACCATGCCCACTTGTGAAATGACAAACAGTCTGTGTAAGGGGGGGCTTTGAAGCCTTTGTTCCTGTTGTTTAACTTAATTAAGTTCCAAGCTTCCCGTCTTTCTTGAATGGATTTAAAATTTCCAACAACAGTAGGGGAAAATTCTGAATATCATCAATATTTCAGATAAAAATCTGCTTTAGCTTTAACTGGATATTCATTGTTCAATTCTCATTTGAAAGAGGAGGTTACGGACGTGGGGTCACTGATTTCAATGAATCTTTTTTCTTGGCAGAACTTCTTTAGGCCAGCTTTGTACTTTTTTTATGGCTTGTGAATCGGACTGAACCATCAGGCTCGGATATGTAACGCTCATTCGGGTAAAATTGGCAAGACTCGACAAGTTGAAGTATTATGACATTTTAATTAAAATATTTTAAAAACTAATTATTGGACATCCATACTGTGAGCGAGAGAAAAGTTCAGCATCTCATCTTCTTTGTAATGACCTATTATTCAAAATTGTATCTTAACACTAAGTCGTTAGAGATCCAATTGGAAAAAGACGTTCAAAACCAAATGATAATATTTGTTAGATTAAAATATAGAGATAGTAAAAATCTGACCTATATAGGTCATATACATTGTAAGCGAGGAAATTGTTTAGCTTTTCATATATTTTGTAATGAGCTATTATTCAAAATTTTATCTTAACTCAACATCGTGTTTGAGAATAGGAGAGGGAAAAAGATAGGTTTTAAAAACCAAATGATGACGAGTTTATGCTGATATATAGTAAAAATGCTAATGTTATTACAAAATTAAAATTTTATTTTGACATTATTAACAATATATAAAAAATAAGAAGAGAAATAATATAAATGATAATACAAACTGTGAAACACTTACTGGAAGAATGTTTAATTTGAAAGTTATAGACAAAAAACAGGTTTAGCCAAAACATTAAAAGAAATCCTTCAAGATACTGAAGAAACAGTCAAAACTTTGTTTAAATTTTTGAAGTTTATAGTGTATTACAAAAGAATATAAATCATAGTAAAACGCTAATGACCCTTGAGGGCAAAGGCGCGAAATAGAGAGAAAAAAAATGATAATAATAGGATGGTATTTAAATACCATGGAGAATTCAAATACCAATTTTAAGAAGTCAATATGGATTATTTTTTTAAATAGCTATACAATTTAGAGATTATGTGTTTCAATTAGATTTTCTATTGCAATTGATATAGTTTCGACAAGTTACTGGCTAATTACATCCCATTAGAGTAGACGTATTTAAAAATGATGGAGTTTTTGTTAGATATTTAGCAAATATGTTTCAATAAAAAATATTCTTTACATATTTTAGTTATCATTGACCTGTCATTTTTAGATTATGATACAAATGACGATCAGTCAGACCAAGTTTGCTATAGTAATTTATACACAATTACAATCGTTTATATTGTAAATTATATAACTTTGTGAATCTAGAACAAAAGAAAAAGATTATATTTTATATTATTAATCTCAGATTGTTGATGTTTTCACTTATATCGTGTGGTCTAACGCACAAACCGTGTTTTTATTTTGGTGATACTAGGTCGAAAAATATGATTTTAATATTCTGACATAAAAAGATATGTATCCGCTTAACCCTTAATAGTTAATTAAAGATCTAAAATTTAATTATTTATTTAAATTAAATTGATTATTATGTCTGAAATTTGGAATGGGACTTATAGGGTCCGATAGATATCTTCCAAATCGGCACGGTCGCAACCGGACAAGATTAACGAATGACATTTCGGCGTTTAAGATTTTTTCTGAATTCCGAGTTATTTAATGAAAATATTTTAACCGAATGTAGGTAAAGTTTGTTAATAAATAGGCATAATTTTTTTGGGATATGAAATTATTGTTGGTAACTTACAATACTCTTAGTACAACGTTTGATAATTTATATGACATTGACTCATTTAGTAAATTAATAAGTGGACTAAATTTTATTTTATTTTTAGTGAAAATTCCTAGAGAGAAAAAATTACAATAAAACTTTACAAGTGCTCAACTATGTTGAGTTGCTCCAACACACATCAGTGTACGTGGCACATGTATCAACATACTGATCGGTCCCGAACGACAATTTTTAACGAAAGAGAACATAATGGATAGATGTTTGCACGACTATCATTTAAAGTAACGAATGTTATCATATATTTCTTTATTATTATATTCATTTTCTTCTTCTCACAGCTGCCATAGAGCTCACAACGAACTGCCCAGAATTAAAATATGTGATGATCCAAGATTCCAAATGAGTCTAAAACAGTTAATTCCACTATATTCTGCAGAATGCTCCTTTCCACATCCAGTTTTTTCAAAAATACAGTAGTTGAAGGTGGAATCGCTCTTGTATTTCCGAACCGGGTATCCCATTTCACCAAATTCCTCTCTACATTCCTTTTGCAGATACGGAATGCATTTTTTATAGATCTCCATTTTTAAAGATATCACTTTTTCTGTTTGCATTTTAAGATCTTGGTACTCATCGTTTGTTTCAAATCGAATTGGAGGACCAACTCAATGGCTTTTTTCCTTTCGCACTAAAGGCTAAGATATATATAAATCTCGTTGAGCCTTCCGTATCTATGCAATATATTTGAACAAAGCATCTATACGTTTTCATCTCTAAGAATTCGCCAAGTCGATGCTTTACATTATTGTGCCTACGGATAACAAGGAGCATGTTATTCGGACATTTGCACAGTACATGCTGGAATTTCTGGCTCTCGGTCACATTTGTGGCAGAAGGGTTCTAAATCTACATTTGCCTGGTCTTCGGTTCTTGGAACTCCACGAAGAGGAGACTAGTTAATGTTCAATTTCAATGAATTCGTCCCCTTTGAACGCGTCAGGTTCTTTCTGTCATATAAAAACTTGTTAGTCCATTCGTTTGACTTAAAATGAGGCACACCTATTCCCTGCCTAACTTTCTTGATTGATTTCTGTTGATACCTAACAGATTCCCGTACTTTTTAATTTCACCCCTAAAATCAAAAACCGTCTCAAATAGAGCATCCAGTTTATTGGCCAATTTTCGGGGTATAGTTTAATTTTTGAATACATCAAATACAATTTCAGTATATTTGCTACTTCAGATATATATAGGATATACTTTTTTTTTAAAAGAAATTCACTACCTTAAAATAGCAAAATAAGGGTATATACATAGCAAATAGTTTTTTCAAACATTTATTTAATAGTTGATTTCACTTTTATTATAAATGAGATTTTGTATTTTTTTTAAAATTAGTTAAGAATTTTTTCCTAGTGATAAAAAAATTTTTCGAGACGATTTGTGAGACAAACCCTAATTAATTAAAATTAAAAAAAAAAACTAAAATAGAATTTCATATCTGTTCGATGATCGTATTTTAAGAAAGAAAAATCAGTTTTGCTCGTTTGGCTAATAAACACAGACCTAATGAATAAATCTACAGTGATGAAATTCATATTTATTCGACTGATTAACATAGATCCTTAAATCTATGCAACTATGTAAAACTAGAAATAAAGCAAAAATGTTAAAGACTTAACAATATTGTCAGTTTTATTTATTTATTGACTTTTTCATATTCAAATGGGAAAAGTTGAGGTAATTTAGTTTATTAAGTAAATAAGATCGTATTTCAAAACTTTCAGAAATAATAATATTTAAAAAAAAAATACCATAAGTCTGAATAACAAAATCGGTTTTACAACTGCAACGGAAATAGCCTCGATGTGAGCTACTTAAGCAGAGATATAAAACTTAGTAATAAACTTAACAGTTAAGGGTGTAATAGCAATGAATTATACTTAATGGCTCATCGCATAAAAAAGGATTTGATCACCAAAGTTTTAAGGTAGAAATTTTTTTCAGTTTTAAAAACACTTACAAAAATCGTTAAAAAACTATAGATCCAGCTAATAAAATCTCGATGTGTGAGGATTATAAAACATAAAAAGTAAAAATAAATTTTAAAATCGTCAATTTTTTATAAAAACTCCTTTAATAATCTAATAACAGATCTCAGTTTTGAAAAAATGTCAATTAGCTTACGGTTACTTTCGATCACTAAGAATATATTGGTTGTAACTGAGTATAACCATATATAAGCATTTTAAAAGTAATTTAAAAATGGTAAAAATCTGTTCCAACGGTAAGAGTTACTTTAGACAATCTTTAAGTCTAATAAAAAGAAAGTGAGGCAGTTTAGACGAATTATTATGAATACAGGAGAATTTTAATTTTAAATATCGTTTATGCAAAACTTAGTTATTCGCCTATGCTTCTAGAGGCTTCATATAGAAGAACAAGAAGAAGAATCAACTTTATTCTGGGACAAAGTGCTTTGCGAATAACAATATTGTACATAAAAATTAACATAACATTTGGCCAAAATGCATATTGCAATAAAAAAAACAACTGAAAAATAAGTAATAACAGAAGTATTTACATAATTATACATATATATTAAAGACATAATATGAGCAATAAGGTCTTAATACTGCAAACTAGTCGCTACAAACAATTAACTATGGAATTCTAAATGAAAATTGAAATAAACGATAAATATCATTTTATATTAATATATTAATGGAATACATTAATATATTAATGGAAACTTTTAAAATTTGTTTCCAGTTAGACAATCCAAAATGCATAGTACACAGAATAGTCCTTGTCATAAATTTACAAGAAAGCGATACTTTTATATACAAATTCTCATAAAAAAATAATTTAAATGACTTATGCCAATTTCTACTACTCGGTACTTCCAACAAGTAGTTAAAATTTTTTTTTTTTTGTCTATAACAAATATATTTGCGCCTGTCAAAATATTGTTGACAATCAGCAAATGTGATGACGATACAGGAAATAATGACATGACAGGCATGGGGAAGGAAAGTACTCAGCAGTACCTCTTCCCTAACTTGTTCCAATTACTTAGGTTGTCTAAGGAAGGAGATCCCTCATCTAACGCCTTTTTAGTCTCCTGCTCATGTTCTGAGATGTCAGCTGTGGCCATGTCTCCACAGAAGGATGGACAAAGAGCCTGCAGTCAGCTGATTAGCGGCCATTTTGTGGATACATGGCTTGAGTCACCTGTGCAAGTAAAATAAATTAATAAAAATAAAGGTGAACCTAGCTATCCATTTAAAAAATAAAATGCATTGCATAAGTAAATATTTCGTTATCTACATCAAACATGTCGGATTTAAAATATCCTTTCACTCCGAAATGCGAACTTTTTTTTAATCAAAATTAGAATAAAAATTTAAAAATCGACTTGGCGTTGTCGTTGGTGTTCGACATATGTGATGGGTCGGATTTAAGGGAATAACTAAAAAAAAAAATTGATTCTTTGTTTTTTTCTCTTACACATAAATACCGCACATTTTGTTTCATAAATATCACATATTATCAGCATAAGACTATGTCTCTTTTTATATACTTCAGAGAAAATCGTATTCTATATCTTTTTTTTTTTCAAAAGGCGAAGAATGTTTCTTTGCCCCATTATATACCATACTCAACGTTTGGTAAAGATTACTTATACTACTGGATAGGAATTTATTCCTCAGAAAAACACAAAATGTGACAAGACTTTCACTGACGTAGCTAAATATCATTATAGTAAATTATTAAGCTGAAATAAATTAGCCCTTTATGACAAACAAGAAGATGTAAGGAATGAAAATAATTAATTATGCCTGTTTCAATGAAGGTTGGAAAGGATTAAATCACGATGCTACTCAAAGAAACTCCTCAAAAGGATCTAGATTAGAGAGTTCTTTGTGAACCCACGTGTTTCAATCTTCAGGTAGATGAGTACAGTTTCAATCTCTGCAAAGCTTTCATAATTTCTATCTTAAAATTAAGTTATATTAATTAACCATTTGATATGTTAGAATTTATAATTAAAGTTAACTTCATATACTTTTCTCAGTTGAGTAAAGACACATATTTTAAAAATTAATCACTGTCTCATCTAGAACTTAGCATCTTCGGTTGTTGTCTTGGTGGACACAGTTTGCCCGTGTTGTTGGAGTTTCTATTATCTTCAAACCAGAGACACGTTTGTGCCTAAGACCACACAACACACCATTAAGTAATTATTTTCGGGTATGAATGAATGAAAAAATTCTGTAATAGTCATATATACAATCAAAGCAGACCTCGCTCAACCATTAACATTATTGCGCAAAGAAAAATAAATAATAAACAACTAAATAAATAAAGAAATAAATCGAAGAAATATTCTTTTTTTTTATAAAGAAGATAAAATAAATAAACAAAATATGATAAAAAAGAAGAAAAGACAGCTGTAGAGCAATATAAATAAAAAGTACCTATTGACTTTGAAAATATCTATACACCATTTTTACATATCCTCTAAATAATAAATAATTAGTAGTTTTATGGAAATTATTATTAATATATTGACGTCTAATCAAATGCAATCATTAAATGACATTCCATAATCTTAAATCTCTATTATCAGATCGCAACACGGTATTAGGAATACGAGAGGTGGAAAATATAACTAAGATCCATATTTACAATACACTCTACCATCCAATCCTACTGTACGGTAGTGAGAGCTCGGTGCTTCAAGATAGGCATAAAAGAAGACTTACCGCTGCCGAAATGAAATATCTGAGAAGAGATTCTCTGGCCGAACTAGAAGAGATTGCATCCAAAACGAACGGATTAGAGAAAATGCTAAGGTGCCAACAATGCTGGAAACCGTGGAAAACAAAACGCTGAAATGGTTCGGCCACGTTATGAGGATGGACGAGGATAGGGAACCCAGAAAATTTTTTGAGGCAAGACCCACAGAAAAGAGGCCAAGAGGACGTCCACGGAAAACTTGGAGTGACGAAGTGATCAAACTCGGACAGAAAAGAGTTGAGTCATATGATAGACGTGGCGAAGGACCGTGGTGACTGGCGTAAATGGGTGGAGGCCCCTCCACGCTGAAAGGCACTAAGGAGGAAGACAAAGAAGAAGAAGAAAAAGAAGAAGTAATCGCTAAGAACTTTGATGAATTTTCTCTTATTGAAATCAGAATATTTTGGTCTTGTAACTATATTTTAAATATATATATATTTTTTTTTAGATCTGTTTATTGAATAATAATACAATCAGCCACTGCTGGAGGGCTATAAGCATTAGGGCTAAAAGTTCTCATTCATATAATATATACATAATAAAGAAATAAATTTTAAATATAAATATGTATTATATCTTGTATTTTTATTGGGTTAACTGTTTTTATCGGAAAAAAAGGCCGAAATTCAATAGAAGTTTAGAAGACTTGAAAGTTCCGCTATATCAAAAATTAGTTAGAGTGATTTTTGCAATAAACTCACGATATTTTTATTTATATAACCATAATTTTTAATAATATAGCTAAGGAAATTAGAATAATATAAAATTCACTATTATTCCTGTACAGAAATACGAAGGAAAGTAACTACTTCTCAGGAGACAGCAAGATCGCAACTGACTTGATATTGTCTCATTACAATTGACATATGTAAGGGTGGCCTTCAATATATTCATTTTAATTGATTCAATAATATTAATAATAATAATATAATAATATGTAAGAACTATATTGACATGATAGCTATGTTACGCCTTGTTGCAGAGCTGCTGAGCAGTAGCCTTCGACAGCTGCAGCGGTCTGGCTGCCACGAGCTGGGCCTCTCCTGCCCCCAGGGAACCTCGATCGCCCTCGTCTCGGCCAAGTACAGCAAGGATGTCTTCTGTCCAGGGGTAGAGTACAACAGGAACTGTCTTCTACATAAGTCTCTACAAGTAAGTATTAAAAAGACTATTTATAAGAATCATATTAATGTTAATTCAATTTTGTTATTAAGACAGCAGGGAGGGCACCTGCTGTCCACATACCGGCGGACCAACCCGCATTTTACAAATTATACAAATGATCGAGATGTAAGAAAGACAGAAATTGTTAAAGAAGCAAATAGTTAAAAAAATTACATCCTGAACAGTCAGAAAAAATCTTATCTGGGTGATGGGACTAGGATGTAACCTCATCATATTCTCCGCGTTCTTATGTCTCTATTTAGTAAAAATATTTATATTCAGTTTACTTTCTATCTTAATTTATTACTGTTTTGATATTAAACAATTTATTAAATCGGTATATCCTTAAATATTTCATTTACATGAATTTCACAACGTTGCAGTAATTGATCTAATTCATAATTACTTTGGGGAAGTTTCAAATCTCATCGCTGAGCTCGTCAATGGTATGAGACACACATCAGAATGTTCTTAACCTCATCAATAAAAAACTTCGATTCAACGCGTTCATTTATTCATCGATTAAATCAGTGATGGCTGTTTCATCGGTCAATGGATTCGCTGGATGTAATCTCATTATGATCTGCATGTTGTTATGGCCCTATTTATTTGAAATATCTATATTCAGTTACTATCTATATAAATTTATTCCTGTTTTAAAATTAGGAAATTTAATAAGTAGGTATTTACTTAAATCTTCGGCACCATGTTAAACTAATAAATATGCAACGTTGGGCAGGTTAATATTCTTTATTTTAACGTGGCACCGACGATATATTTTTTATTTTCTATAGAAATAGAAATAGAAAAATAACTTTATTCTGGGACACAGTCCCTTGAGAATAACAAAATAGAACAAAATTAAAATATTACATCTGGCCAAAATAAATCAATCAAAAAAAAAGAAATAATGTAAAAAAAATATAAGGTAAAAATTCTATATACAAAACAAACTAAACTATATACAAAACCATTAATACTATGACAAAACACTTAAAGCTATTTGCTCTTATAGACCAGTATACACTTTTCCGAAAAAAATAAAGAATTAAAAAGTAAAAATGTGTCAAATTCTCTATTAAAATCCGCTCGAATGGTTAGCAAGTATCTGACTGTTTTTGTGATAGGAATTGGAATAGGAGGGATTTGAATGTGGATATGGAGGAGGAATGCCGAATTTTGATAGGGAGGGAATTTCAGAAATTGACAGAGCGAACAATAAAGGAATTTTGGAATGAGGCAGATCTGTGAGAGGGCATGTAAAGGTCAGAAGGTCGAGATCTTGTGGACAGGGAATGGACTGAGGATTTGAACTGGAGAAGGTTGTAGGCGTAAGAAGGACGATGGTTGTTGATGATTTGGTAGAGGAACGTACCTAGAAAATATTGTCTTCGGAAGGAGGGGAAGAGCCACCTTAACTCAGTGTAGTGGTGAGAGACATGGGAGTACCTCGGGGCACCAATAACAAATCTTACGCAGCTATTCATTAATCTATATGTTTTGTAACCTTCCAGAAATAATTGTCGTTCGTAAACTTAGCGTAAATTGCTGTCTATCTTTGTAGGGTTCAATTGACAAATGGATTCCATCGATGGAATAAGCGCTGAGGCATTTTTTTTTTTACAATTATAGGACTACTCTGATATCATAATTGGGTATTCATTGATTGCTAGACTTGCTATCAATCTTTTTTTTATTTTAATTTTAATGAAATTTACAACTTTATCCACAACATGAAGAGAAACTACCCATTGGTAGAACCCAAATCTATCAATCTTAATTGTGTATTAATATTTAATATATTAACGTATACTTAAATATATAATCTTTGGAGATAATAATGATATATTTTTTTAATGTAACATGTATCATTATATAACTACACCTTTTAGTGTGGCTATATGTATCTTCTCATAATAATGAATACCTGTTACATAATCTAACTGGTGGTTAGTTGTTCATGAATGTGATCAAGTAAGCGGCGAAAGTACCTAGTGGGCCTAGGAAGCGAAGAATCAGACCGGAATAATCGATTCTTCCGAGTGAGTAAGCAGGGATGCTATCATGATATCGCGATAGTTTTTTTATGGAGCTTACATCTTTACAATTTTTCGCATTATTATCATTGTTAAATGTTAAAAAGATAAATATTCTCGGAAGTTACATTAAATTACATTTCTGAATAAAGTCACAAGATCAATACTAAATTATATCCAAATTGAGGAAATAAATTTAAAAAAAAAATAAGCAACAAAATTAAATGTCAATTTCGTACAATTCATGAGGAAAAAAGAAGAAAATCATATTCTGCTTCCAAGAAATATTTTATTTTATTTTCAGAGAAAGATTTGCTGTGAAGTGTCATTAATGAGAAAATGATATTTTGATTTGTATTATATAGTTCTTATTTCTGATTCATTGGTGCATTATGTTCCGTTGAGCAAGTGCATTGACAATACGACCCATTTTATTTTGTTTTCCTTTCAACCATTCTCCTCAAATATTTATTAATGATAATAAAAAGATAAATTTAATAATGATATATTTTTTTTCCGTTGGCATTAAAAACCAGGAATGATTAAATTCAAAAATGATTACCTTCCGTTGGTATCCAGTAGGTCATTCCTAAACTTAGCATTATTAGCTATCCATCGTTGCTGTGTTAAATTAACTAATGGATTCCATCAATATAAGCGGTGAGTTTAGGAACTAGGCTTTTTTTTTTTACTATTAAGGAAGTTCCTGATATCATGATTGGGTATTCATTCATTTCTAGCCTTTCTACCAGTATTAGTTGTGTATTAATGTATTAAGTTTAATTATATATAAAGCGTTTCCAGATAATGGTATGTTTTTTAATGTAACTTGCATCAGTATGTACACCTTTTAGTGTTGACTGTATAGATTATATATACTATATTATCATGGTAGTATAATTTAATAACAATTTATTGTATTAATTTATTTCAAACGTTTTATATTATTAAGGTTGTATCCAGACTCAGACCATACTTGTCTTTAATTATATATATATATTTTTTTATTTCTTTATTGAGTATTATAACAATCTGTCTGTTGGACATTGGTTATAGTGAGGTAGGATGACATTCACACTTTATGTACAAAAAAATAAAATAAATAGAACAAAATAATAATCAAAATTATATACAATAGATAATAAAATAAAATAACCTAAAAAATAATAAAATTAAAACTAAGAAAAAAAACAAAAACACATGCATACCTATAAACAATCAGGCGAGGGAACTCCAGGAGAACCCTGCGCTACTCTCCTAACCGCGTCACTGGAACTGAAGCCAGTGGAGATTGGTCGAGAGCACTTTTTAATCGTATTAAATAAAAATATTCCTAATATACTTTGAATTTTCTCAGTTGTTTAGAACAACCACTGTTATGAATAAACATTCTTAGTTGTAGTTTTATTATCCTATTTCGTATTATGTACACTTACTTGTCTTTAAAGTCGTCATTGATAAAGTCTTAGATGCTTCATTAAACAATCTTGATTAAAGAATTTCTATTATTTTATAAAAATCTCGAAAAAAAATAAATAAAAAATAAACTACTTGTTTTTAGTTTCTCATCGTGAGATTTTTTCGTTAAAGTTCCTAAAGGTCGAAAGTATTATAACTACTAAAGTTTGTAACTTACAAGTTTTGAAAAAGTCCCTTTGGCCCAGGGGATTGCTTTCAGATATAACCTTAAGGGAAAACTTGATCCTCAAACGCTTTTTAAGACCTGAATGATTTATGGAATTTAAATAAGTCTCATCAACATCATTAATCTTTTTTATTGGACAAAATTATATGTTTATTTTAGAAATCATTTTCAAACGTGAAAATAATAAATATTGTTAGTAAGAAAGATAATACATTACTTATTCACAATACGTTACAAAAATCATGAAGTTAAGAAGTAATCAGCTGAAACTCAATATTTTATTCTGAGAAAAATACCACCATAGTTATTTAATTCAAAATATTATTGTAAATAAATATTGAAAAGCGGCGGTTATATTTTAAGTAAATTTATCCATCAATGAATAAAAATTTAATAACTAATAAATTTGTATAATAAAAAAAATAAATAAAAATTTAATCTCCCTTCAAAAGAAAATAACGAAGATAATATTTTCTTCTTTCTTTGGGAAACATATGTAAAAGGATTTAATTTTGTCATTAATGCTCACTCAAGAAATTTTATTATAATAATTTTAAAACGTTGATTTTTATTACAAAACGGTCCATTATTTTCAAATAGTTATAGACAAAATATATATGGCGTCTCTCTCTTACACGAATTATCTTATCACACAAGAGAGCATATCCGAGCATCTCTACAGTTATACAATGGACCTAACCCGGAAGTGCATTATAATAGTATAAATGTAATTAATATTTGAATGATTGAGCTTATTAAATGTGACAATTGGTGTATCATGTATTGACAATTCTCATAACTCAAAGGACAAGGGTATCACTGATAGCTTAGAACTACTTATCTAAAAGCACCGACAGGACACAATAAAGCCTCTTATCAAGACTAGTGTTGATAGGTCTTGGTCTTGAAATTTGTTAGACCAAGACCAAGACCACTTAAGTGTTGCGAGACTGAGACTGCTAAAATATATTTTGTTTTTAAATAAAAATTAAGGCAAAGTAGTTATTAACAATTTAGTATAAACTTACTATACATAAGGAATTGGTGTAACCAATATACTTTTGCATTTAACTCTAATTTTTCTTTAACTGATTTTTCATTTGGGATTTATTAGGTTTCTTCTATAAAAAAAAAATGCAGTAGTATTTCTATGGTAATAAGCTAATAGGTAACTGCAAGACTCTTGCCACATTATTTGGGCAACACTAATCAGTACTTAAGGAACAATAACATATTTTGGCAAAAACTCACTTTCTTTCAGATCTCATATCAATATTAATTCTTAATAACTTCCTTTGCAGGTTCTT